CCTGCAACATCAACTCTTCTTGGTTCTGAAGCAGACTGCCTAGGAACTCAAACGGGAAGATTGGCTATCCGAGGGCTGGCCCACCATCTGCGTATATACACACACACACACACTCTCTCTCTCTCTCAAAAAAAAAATGTGCCTAAGACAGCCACAAGAGGGGAAAAGTATAGAGAGAGCTTCTAAGATACTCATGATGTTCTATTTCTTAACCTGGGTGGTAAGCACATGGGTGTTTGTCATTATTCTTTAAACTGTACACATATTCTATGCACTTTTTTGTATACTTGATTCTTTTCACAATTAAAAAAACTTTTTTAAAAATCTAAGGTTGGGGCCGGGCGTGGTGGCTCATGCCTGTAATCCTAGCACTCTGGGAGGCCAAGGTGGGTGGATCCCTCAAGGTCAGGAGTTTGAAACCAGCCTGAGCAAGAGTGAGACTCCGTCTCTACTATAAATAGAAAGAAATTAATTGGCCAACTAAAAATATATAGAAGAAATTAGCCGGGCCTGGTGGCACATGCCTGTAGTCCCACCTACTTGGGAGGCTGAGGCAGGAGGATTGCTTGAGCCCAGGAGTTGGAGGTTGCTTTGAGCTAGGCTGATGCCACAACACTCTAGCCTGGGAAACAGAGTGAGACTCTATCTCAAAAAAACAATCTAAGGTTGGGATGAAACCAATCTATTTACCTGGGTATTAACCCAAAGGGAAAAAAAAACAGACATTCTATAAAAAAGACATCTGCACTCAAATGTTTATAGCAGCACAATTTATAATTACAAAGATGTGGAAACAACTCAAATGCCCATCAATACATGAGTGGATTAGTAAGTACTACTCAGCCATAAAAAATGGTGAATACCTCTTGTATTATCCTAGATGAAGCTGGAGACCATTTTTCTAAGTGAAATATCACAAGAATGGAAAAACAAAACCACATGTACTCACTGGTTAAATTGGAACTAATTGATCAACAGCCATGTGCACATATGGATATAATATTCATCAGAAAACAAGCAGGTGGGAGGGGACAGGAGAGGATGGGTAAATTCACACCTAACAGAATGTATACCATTTGGGAGATGGGTACAGTACTAAAGCAATTTATGTAACTGAATCATTTGGACCCCTCTAATAATATGAAATAAAAAAATCTATTTTACAAAAATAACATTAGTGGAAAATGGGTGTCTTATAGATAGTATGGGAAAAGATTAAAATTCAAAATTCGAAGTATGGTTTCTACTGTGTATCACTTTCACACTATTGTAAAGCCAAAAAATTGTAAGTCTAACCATCTTAAGTCAAGGACCATCTATATGCATCAGTAATAGACTGATTAATAAATTGTTATTCCCTCACTGATACAATGGAATAAATGCAGCCAAAAAAAGAACTAGTTCCTTCTGTTGGTGCAGTGCCCGGTATGGTAGGAAGGATCCTTGACCAGGTGTGATGGCCTACGTCTTCACTGGCATCAGGGCCAGGCCCCAGGAATCTGGGGGTCTCAGCTGGTTCAGGGAAGCCTGTGTAATGAGGGGCGCAGGGGATAACATGGTTGGTGTCTTCAGAATTGTTTTCATAAATGAATGGAGCAAATGAGTAAATATATTGAAGTTTCTCACTGTCAGAGAAAGGAGCTGCAAACATGGAAAGTAGGAAGCTAAAATAAATCCTGTGGAGCAAGACTGGAATTGGAGGTATCAATGTGAATTTATGGTTTCTTATACACACAGGTATCAAAGATGTCAAGATCATGAAAGACAATAAAGACTGAGGAACCGTTCCAGACTGAAGCTAATACAACAGCGTGACAAACACCATGAGTAATACAGAGCTGGATAGACCTGTAAAGGACATTACCGGGACAATTGATGAAATTTGAATGGGGTCCATAATGATGAATCAATGTTAATTTCTTGATTTTGGAGAAACTATGGAGTATGTGAAAGTACATCCTTGATTTTAGAAAATATACACTGAAGCATGTGTAAGTGGGTAGTGAAGCATCTTGTCTTCAACTTAATTCATAAATGGTTCAGGAAAAAAGTACACATACTATCATGTTTGTATGTAAACACAGACAAAATGATAGGATAAATGTGAATAACTGCTGACAGTTGGGGAATCTGAAAAAGGAAATACAGGCATTCTTTATACTATCATGACAACTTTTCTGAAAGACTAAAACTTCAAAATGAATAGATAAAAAATAAAACCATTCTGGCCAGCACAATGGCTCATGCCTGTAATCCCAGCACTTTGGTAGGCTGATGCAGGAGAGCTTGAGGCCAAGAGTTTGAGACCAGCCTGCACGAGACTCCATTTCTATAAAAAATAAAAAAATTAGGCCGGGCTTGGTGGGTCACGCCTGTAATCCTAGCACTCTGGGAGGCCAAGGCGGGCAGATTGCTCAAGGTCAGGAGTTCATTTTCTTTTCTTTATTTTTTTTTTTCTTTTTTAGCTAACTACAGTGAAAATGAAAGGGTCAGGAGTTCAAAACCAGCCTGAGCAAGAGTGAGACCCGTCTCTACTATAAATAGAAAGAAATTAATTGGCCAACTAATACATATAGAAAAAATTAGCCGGGCATGGTGGCACATGCCTGTAGTCCCAGCTACTCGGGAGGCTGAGGCAGAAGGATTGCTTGAGCCCAGGAGTTTGAGGTTCCTGTGAGCTAGGCTGATGCCACGGCACTCACTCTAGCCTGGGAAACAGAGACTCAGTCTCAAAAAAAAAAAAAAAAAAAAATTAGCAGGCATGGTGGCACGCGCCTGTATCTGTCACTTGGGAGGATAAGGCAGGAAGGAGGATTGCTGGAGCCCCGGAGTTTGAGGATGCAGTGAGCTACAATAATGCCATTGCACTCTAGCCCAGGAGACAGAACAAGACTCTGTTTAAAAAAAAAGAAAAAAATCCTTTATAAGACAAATTCTAAGTGAAAAAGTTCAGAAAATGTATATATACTAGTATTTGTGTAAACAAAGGGAGCGTGGTGAGAGTACGAACATGTATTCATGTGTTGTGAGTATATTCTCATATGTGCACAGTACCTCTAGAAATGCATGTAAGGAAATGATCTATATTGGTTTCTTCCACCAATGGAAAATGCATAGCTAGAGAATAACCTTTTACTCTCTGAAACAATTTTGCACTTTATGAAATGTAGTAAAACAGAATGCTTTAGAGTTCAGTGGATACCAAATTCAAGTGCCAGGCTTGCTACCTTAGAACCACCTGGGAAACATTTAAAAATAGATTAGTAGGCCTCAATTCCTGAAATTTTATTTCAGTAGGTTCAGGGTAGGACTCAGGTATCAATAAAATTTCCCCAGTTATTTAATAATTCAAAAGCATAATATGGTTTGAGAATTACTGCTTTACCAAATCTGATCTCATCTAAACCCTAAATTCTAAGTAAATTAGGAAGTTAGAAAAAAACACTTTGTGTCTAGTGAGGGAATAAGATTATAATCTTAGGAAAGAATATCCCAAAAGAGAAACCAGAGCATCTGAAAACAGGGTTTGCACTGAGCCTCGAACAGAAGTCAAGTCATACAAGTCACTCTGCTTTTCTGGTTTCCTTACTCAGGGTTTAAAATATTGATAAGGTTACCTGAAAATTATATAACATAGACAATACAAATAACATGCATTCTTCAGAAGAGACTTTTATGTAAACGTACAGCTCACCCTTGCACAACATGGTTTTTTGTTTTTGTTTTTTTGAGATAGAGTCTCACTCTCTTGCCTGGGCTAGAGTGCTATGGCATTAGCCTAGCTCACAGAAACCTCAAACTCCTGGGCTCAAGCAATCTTCCTGCCTCAGCCTCCCCAGTAGCTGGGACTAGAGGAATGTGCCACTGTGGCCAGCAAATTTTTTTTTTAGTTGTTTGGCTAATTTCTTTCTATTTATACAGACGGGGTCTCGCTATTGCTCAGGCTGGTCTCGAACTCAGTCCTCAGCTCAAGCAATGCTCCCTGCCTCCATCTCCCAGACAGCTAGGATCACAGGCTTGAGCCATCACACCCCGCCTACAACACGAGTTTGAACTGCACCAGTCCACTTGTATGTGGATTTTCCTCCACCTCTGCCACCTGAGACAGCAAGACCATACTCCCTCCTCAGCCTACCTCAATGTGAAGATGATGAGACCTTTATGATGATCTGCTTCCACTTAATGATTAGTAAACACATTTTCTGTTCCTTATGATTTTAATAAATTTTTCTCTCTTTAAAATTGTTTTTGAGGCTGGGTGCAGTTGCTCACGCCTATAATCCTAGCTCTCTGAGAGGCCGAGGTGGGTGTTGCTCAGGGTCAGGAGTTCAAAACCAGCCTGAGCAAGAGCAAGACCTCGTCTCTACCGTAAGTAGAAAGAAATTAATTGGCCAACTGATATATATAGAAAAAATTAGCCGGGCATGGTGGCACATGCCTGTAATCCCAGCTACTCGGGAGGCTGAGGCAGTAGGATCGCTTGAGCCTAGGAGTTTGAGGTTGCTGTGAACTAGGCTGACGCCACGGCACTCACTCTAGCCTGGACGACAAAGTGAGACTCTGTCTCAAAAAAAAAAAAAAATTGTTTTTGAGATTAGTAACATTTTTCTCTAGTTTACTTTATCGTAAGAATATAGCATATATAATACATATAGCATATATATTTATTATTTATGTTATCTGTAAGGCTTCCAGCCAACAGCAGGCTATTAATAGAACAAGCTTTCGGGGAGTCAAAAGTTATGCATGGAGTTTGACTTCTCAAGTGGTCAGCATGCCTAACCCCCGAAATGTTCAAGGATCCACTATATTTTTAGTTAAAAATCAATTGGTATGTATCTGTACATTCTAAATCTCCAGTGGTGGATTCATTTTGTATCTCAACACATAATTTTTGTATGTATCAGATGTTACTTTTAAAAAGTTAAAATAACAAAAGAATTAGTATATAAATTTGGTCCTTACATTTAAAAAGAGAAATAAATACAAGAAACCAAGCATTACATGCCAGCAGTATATATTTATTATTATTCATGAATGGTCAAAAGACTACAAGGCCCATAATTATGAGTATAACCACATATATGAAATATCACATAGCGACACAGTGAAAAGGACAGTTATATATTTAAAAAATACACGTACACACACACCCTCTCTCAAGTGCTCACCATACACTGCTACAAAATCAGGAGGCATCAAGCTATAGAAGTTCTAATATACATCAAGCTATAGAAGTTCTAATATACATAACATGTTGAAATATCTCAAGCATAAAAACCGTATGTTAAGTTGCAAAAATAAAGTTTCTCTCTTCAAACATTTTGATCTGAGCTCAAGCAAAGCAAATAATGAACAGTGATTTTCATATTATTTCACATACTTTAAAACAATCAACATAAAAAGGTCAATAGTTTCAAAAACCCTGAAAATATGGAGGTTATGGGAATGAACAATGCATCTCATCCAAAAAAAAAAAAAAAGTCTACAGCAGATGTGTTTTATCCTGGCTTTCAAATAGTTAAGAATCATAATTTACTATACTCAAAATGCAAGTTTAGCCAGAACAAACAAAATGATAAACAGAAAAACCATTACCGCAAACAAGGCATCATTGCCCTTTCATTTCTTTAGACAGTTTCACTAGTGCAAGAGTATCATTTACCTGAAAGATCATAAATCACAATTAAAGAGTACTCATACAAAACTATTTCCTTTTTTCTTTAAAAAGTGCCACATACTATACTTTTCATTAAAAAAAAACACCCCGCACACAACAAATAAACTAATGAAAGACCGTTTGTCTCCATCTCTTGTCAATGAGAAAAGGCCAAAGTGATTCTTTGATTCCAATTCGGAATGGTGTTCGCTGGCCGATGCCCAAGGTCTCTAATTTGGAGCAGTCAAGCTGAGCATTTCTTGGACGCTGTGCTCCTAGGACAGGGCTGTCAGTAATCTTTAAAGAAAAATAAACACAGAAAATCAAAAGTAAATTAAATGAAGGGCCACATCTTGAGACTTTATATATTCTTCGCTATTTCATTTTACCCTTAGAGCAAGAAATCTGATTTTATCATCCCTGAAAAATTAAAATGCCTGCCACAATCAAGATGATACTTTTCCTACCAATTTCATCAACACTCATTGTCTTCTTTACAGATGACAATTTAGAGAAAAGTAGCACTAAACTGCCAACATACAAGCAAAGTTCACTTTGATTTATACTGAGAAATGAGGTTATCCAACACATTCCAAAACAACAGGAAAAATGTTATCAATAATACATACTATAATGATGGATTTGGACTTCTGAAAAGTAAGGTTTTAAAAGCCATGTACTTACAGGTCTTAAGTGACTGCTGGGGAGATTGAAGGCATCTGCAATTGCACATGCCATTTCATACTTAGTCATCTGTTCATTGCCAGACCAGTGAAAGGTCCCCTTAATTGATGGATCCTAAAAACAATGACACAATAAGTTCAAAATAGTTTCAACTTTGAGTTGACTAGAATAATGGATTTGACAAGAAAGCTTATTTAAAAGGTCTAGGAACTAAAACGAAACCCTCAATACTGGTATGCTCTCCATGAGATACCTAAAATCATATTCATACAAATATTCTCTGCTAAACGCAAAAAAAGCAATTTCTAGAATTTGGCTTTAAGAATTTTTAAAATAAAAAATAGCTCCAATTTTATTTAATTAGTGGGAGTACTAAAAGTGATTAGATTTTTATGAAAACAGTCCAATTTAATGAATATTTTTAATTATCCTAAACTACAACCAAAACCTAACAGAATCATTTTTTGAGATGAGCTAATCAATTAAACATTCTTAAATATTGTCATGGTATATATTCAAAATAAATATAAATTTTTATATATTAAAAAACTGGTCATACTATTAATAATATTCTCAATTAAATGTTTCTAATCTTTCCTTGTATGAATACTCTATTTAGTACCAACTTTTTCAAATGTTTAAAATTAATTCACATTTAGGCTGGGCGCGTGGCTCACGACTGTAATCCTAGCACTCTGGGAGGCTGAGGTGGGCAGATTGCTCGAGCTCAGGAGTTTGAAACCAGCCTGAGCAAGACCCCATCGTCTCTATTATAAATGGAAAGAAATTAATTGGCCAACTAATATATGTACAAAAAATTAGCCGGGCATGGTGGTGCATGCCTGTAGTCCCAGGTACTTAGGAGGCTGAGGCAGGAGGATCCCTTGAGCCCAGGAGTTTGAGGTTGCTGTGAGCTAGGCTGACGCCATGGCACTCAATCTAGCTTTGGGCAACAAAGTGAGACTCTGTCTCAAATAAATAAATTCACATTTAAATATCTTAAAAAAAAAACCATACAAATTACTCTTAAAGTGGCCAAAATGATTCATACTTAGCTTCTTTTTTAGCACTGCATATATCCTTCTTCAAAGACATTAGGTGATTATTTTGTTACCCAAAGAAGAAGAAAAAAATACAAGTTTTCCATTACCTTGCAATTTAAAAAAAACGAGGTCTACAGTTATGTAAGAAATAAAACACAGGAGAATATTTTTATTCTTCATGAATGAAAATTCTTCAGTTTACTATCTGTAAACTACTTTTTTGGTCTCCTAGTTTTAAAAAGGAACTTTAAACTTTCACTCATTAACATTCCAAGTATACCTATGAAAAGTTCCAGCATGGAAAAGACAAAGTGGATCTTCACTAAGATGGAAGTTAGTTAGGCACCCTTCCTTTCAAAAACTCACCAGCATCCTCTTCTCTGCTAGCTGCCGACACACAGTAGCCACATCTTTAACGTGGGTGGGGAACCTCTGCTGCCAGTGGTCCATGTTCGCTGACTTGTTGCTAAACTGCACTTTATCAAACATAACAGTCACAGCACTTTCTTCAAGCTTCTCAACTTCCCCATACAGAATAGGAATCCTCAGAACAGCAGCTCCTAGAGATGAATAACAGCCAGATTCTATTTCAATGCTGATTAGTATTTTTTCATGTAAGATGACAGTGTATAAATCTAAACATCTAGGTAGAAACTTTTAATAAAAATACACCAAAATGACATAGCTCACTTGTAACAATAAAAAATCAAATTTAAATGTCTTCTGTAATTTGGAATACTTTTAGATATAACTTCTACATTATTCTGATCATTAAAAATAAAACCTCTCAGGCCGGGCGCTGTGGCTCACGCCTGTAATCCTAGCTCTTGGGAGGCCGAGGCGGGCGGATTGCTCAAGGTCAGGAGTTCAAAACCAGCCTGACTGAGCGAGACCCGTCTCTACTATAAATAGAAAGAAATTAATTGGCCAACTGATATATATATAAAAAATTAGCCGGGCATGGTGGCGCATGCCTGTAGTCCCAGCTACTTGGGAGGCTGAGGCAGAAGGATCACTCGAGCCCAGGAGTTTGAGGTTGCTGTGAGCTAGGCTGACGCCACGGCACTCACTCTAGCCTGGGCAACAAAGCGAGACTCTGTCTCAAAAAAAAAAAAATAAAAATAAATAAAACCTCTCTTGGCCGGGCGCGGTGGCTCAAGCCTGTAATCCTAGCTCTCTGGGAGGCCGAGCGGGTGGATTGCTCA